GGGGAGAGGCGGGGACAGCCACCGGCCCCAGGAGCCCGCCCGCTGCCCTGGCCCTGCTGCTTCACCGCTACGTTAAGGAGAAAAAGCCGAAATAAGCTGTCTCCGAGGTTGTTGTTTTCTTACGGCTGCGTCTGTAATACCACAAACAACGTAGTGCCGCTTCATTGTATCCAAGACCAGAAATCCTCCACTCGTGGCCCGCCAGCCAGAAGAGGGAATAATTCGATGTGTTTTAATAGCTGATTCCCCCCGCCCCGAGTCCGACGAAGCAGGAAAGTTAGTTTTCAGACACAACAGCCCTCACAAAAGGTCAGATGTTACATATGGCACAAACTTGACAAATCTTTACGTGTCTCAGAACAGCAAAAAACCCATCAAGAAGGCACTGTTTACAATACTTGAATATCCGCTAAATTTTCTGTGATTTGAGGATACCCTTGAAATAACGATAATTAAAACTTACAGATGTACAGAATCCTTGTTATACGTTATTTACACAAACAGTGGTGAAGTAATAGCCTTTAAGAAGCTATATGAAACACTGAATCCAAAGTCTGTTTCATAAACACCAGTCTAGCAAGAAAAAAAAAAGTTCCCAAAGGCACAGGAGGGCAGCGAACAACAAACAAAAAAATGGAAGAAACCATCGTCACTGTGTGTTATGGGACAACCTTTCAAATGTAATTTACAAGATTTAATTGGGGGGGTGGGGGGAACAACCAGGCTATACCCTCATGAAGTAATGTCAACTATTTAAAAGGAATCAACATGTGAAATGCAAGAAACATCGCCTGCTGCTGAAACTGATACTTGCTACATTTCACACGGCATATTTACTTTTTCTTACCTTAGGTCACCTGTACCTTACGAGGCAATCTGTACCTAAATGGCAAATTAAAGGCTTCGAATGCATTTGGAAAAAAACAAACAAAACCAAAACAACAAAAGCACATGGTAACAAATTCTGAAAATACTTCCTGTATAAGAAAAAAAGAAAAAACAAACAAAACAAGATTTGTAAATCAAACGTGAAAACAAGTGCTGCTTTAAACTTTAAAAACTAGTAGGAGGCCACAGCCCTCAAACGTCTGCAAACTGTACAATCAATTTTTATAACAATGTGCAGACCTCAATCTTAAGTACATAATATTCAAGATCAGATACACATCGTGGTTAAACAGGACAAGGGTGATGCGCTAAAGAAGAGGCTTCACACGCGCCTGTGACCAGCTGTAACTGTAAAAATCAGGCAAGAAATTTCTTTGTTCTATTCACATGAGGGAACATCATACAAACCCCAGCAAAACAGGAATTACTAGGTTTTCAATGTACTTTTTAGAATTTAAGTTATCTAATCATACAGTCAAGCACAAGTCTGCAATTTTACTTTTCAAAAAGTTTCATCGTATATCCTTTACCCTCGTGGACCATCACTAAAACCACTTTTACAACAAAATTAAACTCTAAAAAATAAGTTGAAAAGGAAAATAAGCACAGGCATTTTGTCTCGCTCTGTTCAAGTCTTTTACTTATCTTGAGCTGAGCATGAATTTCAGATATGGAATATCTGTTTAGTCCGACACTGTCCAACACTGCGCTGCCAGCCACCTGGCTGGGTCAAATCCACACTTACTACCATGCAGTGGGTGTAAAAATACATGCAGGCTGTGTTATTAACTGATCTTGGATAGAAGTGATTAAAAAAAAAAACAAGAAAGGGCAGAATGACATTTCTATTTACAAGGGAGATAAAAGCTTGTAACTATCAGTCAAGAGTTCCAGCACCACGAATTTAGCAGAGTATTTTTTTAAGGGACTGAAGTTATTGCCCAAATTCTCATTTGTTTCCTCCTATTACTCCCATGTACAGACTATGCTTAAAGGCTTGTGATGGATCTTAAGACAGGTGAAGCTTTGACATCTGAATGCGATAATGAATGGTCAAATTCCAGGCTGAGAACATTAAATTAATGCTATTATATTCTGCTTTCTTTATGCCATTTTATACATGGCTAACAACTGCAGTTTCTGTTTAGAGACTTAACTTAGGGATTGTTTTTTAGGTTTTTTTTTTAAACAGTGAGGGACTTTCTGTATTCACAAATTTTACCTCATCAGCTGCAGATATAATAGAAGTCCAACCAGGTTTGGTCTTGCCCACGTATACAAGATCACTCACTCTGGTTAAGGTACCACATTCCAGAAAATGATTCAAGACCAAACCATGCTAACAGGAAGCTGTAAGAAATAAGCTGAAGTTGACTGCTTAAGCAATAAACTTTTACGTAGCTGAGGCCCAAAGAAGGGGAAAGGTAGGAGAGAAGGGGAGGCGTGTGAAGATGTCAGCCACAGCAATATAGGAGCTAGACTGACAACAAGTAAATAGTATTTTCACTAAATACCGGGTGAGACTGATGCGGAACAGAAAGGTAGATCACCTGGAGAGTCAGGGAGGCTGCCCAAGGCAGAGGGATAACCGGGCCATGGCAAAAAGCCAGAAGTGACCTTTGAACTGTTCCACTGCCTGGGATGGATTTGGTTTCTGAGAGGATCCTCTGCAAACAAACTTGGCTGCCCTTTGCATTGTGCCGCTCATACTCCTTGTTGTCTCATCTGGGTTACTGAGAGTACCTTTACGATACTACAGCCCCTTTCTGACTCGGTACGTTTGACTGGCGTAAGGAATTCACCAGATAAACACTGGCGCTACATTTTTTTTTCTGAAATTTCTGAAGTTCTATACATGCATATATTTCTTCAAATAAAAATGTTAGAAACCCTGGTTTTAAATTGAAACTTAAGCTTCGCATTAATTTGTATGGCTACAGCATAATGAATAGGTGCATCCGTGTGTTCCGTTAGGTAGTATATACTGCAGTAAGGAGGAGTTTAACAAAGACTTCGGGTTTCACTCCCATTTGTTTTGATACGTGTGTTGTTAGCCATCCCACAATTTCTGAAGACTTTCCCCTTGTAAACACACATGTTTTCATTTGCAAGTGAACTCCTGACAGTGCCCGAATTCTGTTCTACATCGTCTGCCTTTTGGGAGGTTCAACTCAACCTACACACTAAGCACACCTTCGCATCTTCACGTTTTGTTTCAAAAATAAGAAAGAGCCCAGGCATCAGCAGTCTGTCTGCTTACTGTGACATGGCCATACACAAATGTAAATTCAAAGCTGTAGATTCATCAAGACTTACAAACATACCGTAAATCCTTGACATTTGCAACTCATGAGAGAGAGCGGACCAAGACAGTACCTTCCCGGGTGCTGTACTGTTAAAAATGTGCTCTGTGCAGTAGATGCAGGAATGTTTTTATGAAGAATCTGAAGGTTTAAAACTATAAAAATAAAACAGCTGGCTTACAAGCCACTATAGTAATTCAGGATAAAAACTGTCATACTTCCAAGACAAATCAAGGACATTACATTGCAGAATTACCGAAGACTTCAGCTTTTTTACTTGCCAGTTCCCAACACTCATGATCTTTGTATAATAATGCATTTGTTTGACCTTAAACAAAAGTTTACTTCCAAACACCCAACGCCATTTACAAAAAACTTGGCTACTTCAAAAGTTCCTTTGTTACAAAAATGGTAAGTTTAAACGTAACAAAGTATGCTCGTTTATCATTCTACCATAACAGGAATCACATCCTACCTACAGGGTCTGACCTCTGAATTTTTAACTTCATCTATTCTGTGGTGAAGATTCATCGGTACAGCTTATGACATAATATAAAACACAAGGCTGATGTCGTATGTCTGCGAGACAGAGGCACACACCAGGAGCAAGAGTGTACTGGCACTTACACAATTCTTACTTCAACTGGGTAGACGGGAGTATGATTCTGAACCACGGACGCTGAGGCAAAGTTCTGTAAGTTGTTGCTACAGGCCTCCTTTAGATAATATTGCATCATTTAAAGTCCAACCTAAAATATGGTCCCCAGTTAACAGTTCGATCATTCCAGTTCAGAAAGGCCCTTGTTCACACTTCCTATTTGAACAAGAAATTAACGATAAGCTGCAGCAGAACCACGAGTAAAATGAAGACATAGTGCTTAAACTGCAAGAAATGGTAGTCCGCAGGTGGTGAATTAGAAGTGACTCTATTTCGTAAAGCCATAATGTCTCTGTAAGATAGAAAATAATATCCTGTAAATTACAATCTAGACAATTTGGCATTTTCTAGTATGTTAGGGCTCCCTACAGAAGACAGTTTTTAAGGAAAATTATGAAACGTCATTGAGCAATCAACATTTGGGAAGAAGGGTAGTTTAAAGACATCAAGGCTCTAAAGCAGAAAGATACATACCAGCCTCCAAGGAGGAAAAGCTAGAAAATCAGTATTCTCTAAACCATTTTAAAGCATTTTATTTAGTATTACCTCTTAATGTCTTCTTGTGTTTCCTTTATAGATTCAATGGCACTCTGCAGTTCACCAAGGTCTGCCCCTTTTTTCCTTATTCTTGTATTATGCTTCAGAAGTTGCGCTAGAGAGATACAAAAGCCAGATGTCATTCACAGAAGTGACTGCTAAGTCAAAAAAGGAACAAAGTACTAATGACAAACTCAACCAGTTGCAAAAATGAGGAGAAAGTCTTCTAACTAAGCTTCTATTGAAAACTAAAGCTTTATTTCAGTCACCTGTAGCACAGAAGGACAGCAAGGGAAGCACTTTAAGTATCTTAAAACACTCACTGTATTGTTTAATTTCTGCAAGCATTATCAACAACAAAAATCTGCCTTCTAGCAACATACTGATCTACAAATTCAAACGATTTTAAGAAAGAAAAGAGTTTACAAACACAATTTTTTCCCCAGATACTAAATATGTGCAGCACTTAAGCCTACCTACACTGCATACTGAAGTTTAAAAGGACAGGGAAGTTTGCAATTAAAACCATGAGCCATTACGCTGCTTTTGTTTTTCCAGAATGTGCTTCACATTGGATAAAACTGTGATCTAAAGCATGCGTTATTTCATAATACAAACATCGAGATAAGAAGAGTATGTGTGACTACACAACTCTGTTTCACTGTCAAATATATTTATTATTTCTGTACACAAATGTATCTTTTCCTACCTTCACTCCCAGAGGAATCCTGGTTATCAGGCTCCGGGGATGAGAAACCACACTCCCCTTTCTTCTGACT